CCAATGAGGACTTTATTAGAGTTTCATTGAGTTATCATCAGTGGTTAATGAGCTATTTTAAAGAGCATTTAGGTTTGGAAGGCCTTTCAGCCTTCAAAACTTCATTTCCAGTGCAGTTTTATGGAGGTTTTGTGGTTTTACTGTGTTGCTATGGTACCAATGAATGTGCATTTGAGTAAGAACACACTTCTCCTGGCCGAGCCGGTCGTTTTGATGTATAACTTGTGTGGGTGCAGTCATGTTGAAAATATKTCCATTCATTTGCATTGAGAAAAAGTGGCCAAAGTTCCTTCGGCTGCTATCTTGTTTTTGATGTTTCTGCTCCAGTGTTTGACAGAGGTTACTCTCAGCCACCACCATACCAAGTTTCAGATCAATATATCAAACAGAGGCTGAGCAAAAGCCATTTGAAAATAGCGATGGCGGCCATCTTGGATTCATATTCCGGCTACTATTTTTGGTAGAGGTCACTGTCAGCTACTTGTGTATCAAGTTTTAGAGTAATACATTGAAAATTGGCTGAATGAACGTAATTGAAACTTACTTAGCAATGGCGGCCATCTTGGTTTTTGGATTTTGGCTACAATCTGTTATAGTGCTAAGGCTCAGCTAATAGTGTACCAACTTTTAGCTCATTATGTCACAAACTGGCTGTTTTATTTAATGAAAACTACAGTATGTAATGTCCTGTGTGACCTTTAACCTACATTGACTTTAGCTCACTAAGATCCAGCTTTATAAAGGAAACGGCTCAGCCAATCAGAAAGCTCAGTTTTGGACACAGTACCCGCCTCCTGTCAATCAAAAGGCTTCTTTACACAGACACAGCCTCAGCCAATCTTCCCATGTCCAATGGGGATTTTAGAGGTTTGTTTTTTGTGATTTACGTCAGTACTACACAAAGGGTGTGTGGTCAGAGGATGTCCTGTAACTGCTGGGTTGCTGGTTTGATCCCCTGTTTCAGCTGTGTTAGTTGTTGAATCCTTGGGCAAGACACTTCACCTGCCTGGCCTACTGATGGTAGGACAGTATAAATTGAAAAAAATAACAGAGGTGAGAGGACACAGCCCTGAGGAGACCCTGTAGAAGAAAAGACAGACACATTAGCCAAACAAAAAAACACAACATAAAAATATAAACTACATATAGGTTAAAACAGGAGGTTAAATGCACTTAAAAGCTGAAGAAACCAGGAGTGCAGTACTCTCAATGTTTGAAGACCAAATTTGAACGTGTCCGTAGTGCARCCTCTACCCTCTGACCAGTCAGGAGACTGGAGGGGATCCAGTTAGTCCAGCACCATGTCCAACAACCTCACTTTAACTTCTCAAATACCTTCATAACAACATGTCCCAGCCACTGCTCTGAAACCATTAAGTCACTGTGAAACATTRGATTTTAGGACCGCTACAATTATTGACTCTTTCCACAGACTACAACCTAATGCAATTTTAAAAACATAGAAGAAGAATAAAAYACATATCAAACAAAGTAACTAAAGTTTCCAATAAAACAAATCATAATAATTCATTATGATGAGGAGGAGGTCCTGCCCCAGGTGGAGGAGTTTAAGTATCTCAGGGTCTTGTTCATGAATGAGGGAAGAATGGAGCAGGAGATCAACAGGTGGATTGGTGCTGTGTCTGCAGTGATGTGGGCGTTGTACCGGTCTGTCGTGGTGAAGAGAAAAGGCCCAGTTGTGATAGTTCTATTGCACCACTGTCATGCACACTGGAAGTGTGGGAAATGGTGATTTTCCTCCTCTTTAGGGAAGATCTTTGCTAAATTTCTTCTGCCTCTGGCTGAGGGTTGTCCACCTGAGTGTTGTGTTAGTGTTTCAGAGCTGCACAGCTCAGCTCGTTTRACAGAACAGTTAGCCTCCTGCAACAAAAAAATTACAAAACATCTGCTGTGAAAGCAAAACCCTAAAAAATACAGTTCAGTCTCCCAAACGGTTGGAGCAGTGTGGTTTCCCTGAGGTGGAGGCGTGCACGTCTGTGGTGAGGATGTGTGAAAGAATGAAGAGCTGAAGAGTGCAGCTCCCATACAGGCTGCTGTTTGTACAGTTACACAGTTAAAATTACCAACGATATTTTTGTTTTATTTAGACTTTTATAAGAAAAAAAGAACAGATTTATTTTTCAAAGTCAGTTTTTCACCATATGAGTCATACATTTATAAATGTTATAGTTTATAAACTAAAT